AATGCATACTGATTGATAAAATTTTTGGTTGAAAATAAATGTAATAATTATTTAGAGTTGTATCTACATAAAACACGAAGTGTCAGTAGAACTGTCCGCCCAGAGATTGGAAGCAGATATTTAATTTCAGTTTTCCATATTAACCTTTATGATATTTGCGATGGTCTTGGTGAAACATAAGGATATATAGGAATATTAATGAGCATAACCTTTCCGTACGGCTAAGCAGGAACAACAGGAAGAAACCAACTAGAGTCTGAATGTTTCACTTGTAAATACGACAAATTAAAGTAGAAAGAAAGACTGAAATAATCTCAAAACTTAATGTAGAAGTATCAAGTTAAACTGAGAGCGGCAAATTAGCTGAATCGAAAATAACATAACTGTGTTGGGTGCGAAAGCTCGACACAGTCCATTTTGTGTTGTGTATTCTCACACTTCAGTTTGATTAATATTGTGTTCAGATTTACTCCCTTTGCGTCCTCAACCCGCGTAGAACCCAGACAGTTGTCCAGTCGTATTTTTGGATTTCCATTTCGGGTTTGAGGTCATTCAGCCAGTGCACAAGTAAGTAAGGTTGATACATACAACCATTCATCAAATTATAGAGATCTTACATTTGAAAGATTACTATCAAAATGTAAGCTAAAGATAGGTTAAAATATTTCTATAAACAACATAGCAATCACTTTCCGAACCCCACGACATCCGTCCAAAAAAGAAGAGAGGGCGGGGTAGCCAAAATCTCCACTATCCCTCCCCCAATTATATAGGTACTAAAAATCTCAAATATTGGACCAGAACGATAGCTGGGTACAGTAGAAGATTGGTACAATTAAAACACTTCTCTACTGTCAATATGATAAGAGGGGAACTTTTCAAGGTACCGATTCCAATGCTGTTTCCTATTGGACTTAGTTTTGTAGATTCTCAGCTGAAAACTATACAATAATTTTTTTACAGCAGGTTGTAGTGTTGCAAGATTATCGTCAAACACATTATTTGAAATACTTTAAAGACTTATGAAAAATTTGCATATTTCTTGTAGCCCCGTGCTACCCTAAACAAGGCCATTGTGTCAAAGGTTATCTATCCTTTTCCTCATTGTTTTAATTTTTGTCAGCGAAGAACTTTATGAACAATGCAGTGTAGACTTATACGGAAATCCTGCTAAATTTCCACATAGCAATGGCTAATATTCTATGTAGATTCTGTGAGACAGCATTAGAAAGTAAAAGTACAAAGCTATGGCTGAAAGGACCTGGTGGGCTAGTCTCCATGGAACCCTCAATAGCGTGTGATTCCTAGGGCTGCTACATAGTAAACAATTCGTTGTCAACAACTGTTTGTTTTTCAATGCTCGACTTTCAGTTGTTGACAATTGAGGAGTCCTCTTTTCTGAAAAAGGAAATGGTTGCTGAAGTTTTGAGCCGTTTTTTCTGTCTGCCTCTTGTTCACTGCAAGATATATGTTATCTTGTCAACAACCCATACTCAGTCTAGTCTGTGCGCAGGACTGAATTAGTTGTCAATGACATTTGCTGTCAATATGAAGTAGTTTTTGAAAACTTAATGTCTTATTAAGAGGCAATATAATATCTCTCTAGGATAGCCTTAGAGTATTTAAACTGAGGGATTCAAGTTGAAAGTGGGTGAAAGTATTTACAGCAAAATGTTTAAAATTGACGTAATTATACAACAAATCACCCTTATTATTACTTTTATTCCTCTTTATCACATTATCAATAATTTTTTAGTTGTCTTTTGAGGGAAAGAAAAAAAATCAATATTTAGTTCAGATGCACTTGTCGTGAAGAAGCAGCTGAGTAAGTTAAAAAGCAACAAATGTTTCCTTATAAAAATAGAATACACAGTCACACGTACTCCAGGAGTTCTAAATTTTTACTGGGCTGTGTGCATTGTTATGGGACTCATTCAAACATTAGAAGATGGGTTTATTAGTGTCTCAGTCACACAGTCAACTTGTTTTTAGAATCTTTTGATCCTTTAGAAAAGGGTTATATTTCTCAGCTTAACCACTGACAGGAATCCTATACAATGTCTTGGCCAAAAATTTAGAAAATGTGAGTCAACCTTTTTAGTTGGGTAATGTGTGTATGATCTGGCCTAATTGGTTGATGTACATGTAACAATATGTGACCCTCCACGGGGTTTCAGGGAATAAGGTGAACGCACGCACACATGACGTTATAACACGCTTGCACGCTAATGGAATGACACGCTTACCGTGCAGATATGCGCATAAAAACAATTGATTTTGGAAAGCGTGTTCGTAGCCCTTGTTCATATCTGGCCAACACGGTAGAACTTTGTTTCTATAACACGTTAGATTTTTTTTTAACACGCTTAGTTCCTTTGTTCCTTAACACGCTAGCTTACCTGGTACATCCAGCTCACTTTGTTACTTGTGTTTGTCAGCTTCTTAATCGTGAGAATGGTGTTTGTAAAGTATATTACTTACATAATGTAACCGAAAATGAAGAAGATCTTCTGTCCGATCCAAAAGTTGTAATAAAAAAAGAAACATTCACGGCAAACCACGGCTCTTTCCCTCAGGATTTTCATAAGGAATTCAGTGAGCACGACGTGTTTCACAAGGTCCAGAGGGGCTCCGTTTGAACACATTAATTACTTTTTAAAAACTTAATTCTTACCTTGTAAAATATATATCCTAGCTTATCTTTATCGCTTTATGCAGTTAATTAGCCCAGTACCGAATCTTTGTGAATCCTTTGGCAACAGATTTCCGGCTCCATGTTGGAATCGAAAGAAACTTTAACTTTAAGAGGCGTGTTATAAAATTGACACGGTCACTGTGTTGTATCGTGCAAAGTTGCGAGCAAGATCCTAACACGTTCCTTTGCTTCTACCGTGCGCAGCAAGACAATGGTTACGAAGTTAATGAGGCAAGTAACTAGCACGCAGCTAACGTGTTAAAAGCTAGTTCTTTTGTCTTAGCGTGCGAACGTACATGATGTGCGTGTTTTCACCTTATTCCCTGAAATCCCGTGGAGGGTCACCAATCCTCTATTGTAGTTTAACGCTAGTGCATTTTGAGTTCACCCACAAAAGGATTTTATGGTCTAGAGTGATCATTTCTTTGACGTCTGGGACACTGCTTTTGTAGGTAACGATAATGTAAAGATTTAGCCGAGCCTAAAAGCGGAGGTCGCATTTTTTTTTCCAGCACGTCTCAAGGGCACAACGCCTTGCCCCGGCCAGGACTAGAACTCGGGTCGTCCGATTCGGAGCCTATTGCACTGACCACTGGACTACTGGACAAAGCCGTGGCGTTGGCGTGCCCGCGGTACAGTTGACTACGCATGTTAAAAGTAGCACCTTGTACGGTCGTACGGTCGTACATCCAAATTTTTTCGGCTTGATGGGTTACTACTATTTTGTATAATTATGGGGCTACGCTAGCTCCGCTAGCTCCGCTATAATGTACTGATGTTGCAAGTGGAAGTTGACTATTTATCATTTCTGGGTGAGGAAGGGTGAAATACTCTACGTACTCGTCGAAGTACAGCACAACTTACAAAATACTCGTAAATACTGCGAATTGAGGTAGAGACGGGAGGAACTGGGCGGAATTATATAAATTCGAATAAACAATGTTTAAATTCACGCTTTCTTAGACATTTTTACACGAATGAAACAAATCACAAACTTAACTGAAGAAATGTGAGAATTAGGCAGTAGCTATGTAGAATTATAACTGAGGTACGGACAGTGTAATTTACACTTTTGGAGAAATGAACTTGTGGCATTTGCTGTTTTGATACAATGACTGATGAAACCAAAACGATATTTTTCCCGCAATTCAAAGAGCTTAACGAGAGCTTGAAGAATAGGGCCCTGAAAAAATGTCTTCGTTCGAAAACAGCGAGATATTTTTTGATACCTTTGTTTTGGATGACTTCTTGTTAATTGATTTATTTTTTCCACAAATTATTTAGTGATTCAACAAGAATTCAGATCAAACGCGCTCGCATTTCAGAGTCATAGCTTTTTTCTTTTTCGAATAGACACGTAGTTAACTTAAACGTAAGAATACAAGATCGATTGTTACTTCTGTATCTAAAATTTTGTCTTAGTTTGTGTCGCCAGAAAAAATGTAAGATTAATAAGTCAAGCTACACAGCTGTAAAAAAAATAGAATTTCATTTGCAGAAAATCCAATTAGAATTCAGACAGCTCGGGAAGAAAGAGTGTTTTGATCGGATCGCGGCGGCGCGTGGGGAAACAAGAGTCACACACAAAAAAAACAAGTATTATAATTACTCCTTGCGCAATGCGTGACAGATATCCTAAATTGGTTTCGTAACGCTCGTACAAGACAACCTTGAAAGGAGAAAAATGCTTATAACTTCTGCCACATAGTTCGCGGTAAGAAAAGAACCAACAAACAGACAAAAAAAAAATTTTTAGTTCTTCGAAGTAGTCAAGTAGTCTACTTGAAATAATGTGGGTAAGGTTCTAAAGAAACCGTGGTGCTGCGTCGGTGGGAGAGTTTAACAGGGTAATTAATTATTATCAACTGGGTTGATCACGTAAATTAGCCACCATAGTTTCAGAACGAATGGCTGACGCTCGAAACGTCAGCTTTGAAACTCTTTACGGTGGCTGATTTACGTGATCAACTCAGTTGATAATACATAGTTACCCAAGATGAATAATGTCCAAGTTGGATGAAACCAATGCTAATAGTGTCCAAGTTGGATCTCAACTTCCGGCTATTTCCAACTTCGACCAAAAAGCTCTGCCAATCAGAAGGGAGTATCAACATTTTTCAACAACCACAATCTAGAACCTACTTGGACAGAGCGCACAAGGAAACGGACTCTAGCAATCAAGATTCATATGTAGATGTGTTCTTTTTCAATACAGTTGGGTTAACACTCGAGCGAGATAACTTCCTAAAAGCCTTGATCCAGAAGAAACTTCTCGGGACTTGCGCAGTTTTAAACCACATCTGACATGTCGAAACCAGAAGCGAATTTTGGGGAAGGTAAGCAATTTGATGAACTAACATCGAATTCTAAGAACATCCACTGATTTTTTATTTTGTGTGTCCCCGAGAAAAGGAAACTCTCTTGTGTTTGGTCCTCTATATCTTGATTGAATCACAACGGGAATTTTTATTTCCTACTGTTAATTGCTTTCCTATCAAAGCCCACTTTACTTAACGTGGTACAAGCGCACGAATTAGAGCAAATAAAAGATGAAAACATTAACTTTACACAACTTATGTTTACGTCTAACCCCCTGTCTCTCTGACAAGAACTTTTCGAATCAAAAAATGATCAATGTATTCTATTCGCAAGAGAAAAAGAATGGAGTGTACCACTTCATCCAAGAATTGATCCAAGAAGGAAAGTATGCATGGTTCGTTAATCAGGAGGGTCGGTTCCGTATCAAATGGGAGATTGCTGTAGAACGTTATATAGAGTACAGAGCGAAGAACCCCAAGTTTGACCTGAGCATCGATCGGGGAAAGGCCAGCAACAGCTTTAGAGAGTCTCTTCTTCGTCGCTATTCTGATGATGCAGATAGAGCAAAAGAGTACGAAGAATGCCAAACGGTTGGGGAAAACAACAATATTGTCGAGAGAGAGTTTCAAATGCCTTCATAAGTGTTTCATTCACTTTTTGGATCAAGTGAAGAACTTCCTAGTGATCAGGTAATTTGAAGTGGACTTCCAGTGAATTATCACGTTTTAGGTATATTTCAGACATTATTTTGAAGTTTAACACCTTGGTGTAATATCCATAATGTCAATCCCCCACACATCCTCATTATATAGCCTTCCTTCTCTTTTGGAATTTTTGGTTAAAATTCTTCAGTCCATTTTGAATTGCTATTTGTCTGCCTATAAACATTTCCTGACACCAGCAATCAAAGATCTGTACAAGCTCTGTTGTTAAGTTGTATATTTTTTTTGTTTAAATTCTCCTAAGATTATCTGTATATTGGGTACTGGCAAAATGAATATTTTTCTGTGGTTTTGCAGAATACAGTTCATATTTACATGAGAGTTTTTGGGTGCCCTCCATTTAAAACTGGTGACTGAGTTTGTAAATGCTTATCACATGAACAGGTGTTGTGGATGACAACTGTACAAAATATCCACGGGGAACAATGGTGTAGCAGTTTTTAGACCATTGTCCTCTGGGCATACCAATTAACCCAATCTATTGTCTAAAAATGATTGTTCTGCAAAAATTAAAGAAAAATTTGCAGTGCAACACAATAACTAGGGAATTAGCATGCACAGAATGTAGATCAAATATTAAACCTCCTGGTGACTTTGGAATTCCAGTATGAACCCTTTCACCTGTCACATTGCCCTGGCCTGGAATTCTATGAAATAAGAATTACAAGAGGATGCCTGTGTTAAAGTATACTAGATATTTTCTGGAATCACTATTTCTCAGAGTGCATTATCAATATAAAGGTATTATACAACAGTTAAAGTTTTCCATCTGTCTCAAGTTGAAATGATCAGATCATGTAATGACAGTCAACCTTAAATAACAAGGTAGTGATGATGGCTAACTGGTATAAAAGACAAGTTTCAAGCAATTTTCTTAGCTTCCTGAGCAAAAGACACACCGAGACACCTGTTACTGTTGAAGATGAGATTGATAAATAAGAAACTTCATTTTAGCGAAAATATCAGTTCAGAGGTGTGCTTCAAAGCTAATCCTAAAATAATTCTGACAAGGATGGGGGAACTTGTTCCTGAGAAGACCTTGATCTGTCCCTTCAGCTCTGTAATCCTGATGTTGTTCTTAAGTTTTCATTTTGTTATTTAGTTTAATTTTTGATTTTGTTTATATAATTATATATATGTGTGTATATATATATATATATATATATATATATATATATTTCATATTTTTAGTATGATAGGCCCATATGGTACTGCATTGATGTATCCTTTTACTTCACATGTTTCCCCAGTTAGCTAATATAGTTTAATTGCATTGACACTCGAATAAAGGTTATTATTATGCATAGAGCATAGAATGCATAGAATTTCTAGGAATTTTCAGGAATTTCTAGGAATGTTTGAGAATTACTGGGAATTTAAAGCAAAAATTTGAGGTTATTAATACAAAATTAAATACTAAAAATAGAAAAATCCCAGTAAGTATTTAATGACATTTATTTACAAGCTTAATTAAGGTTTAAGAGTATTTTGATTGTATATTAACATAAACATGTAGTAATATTAGGATAGAGTTTGATTTATTTTTCTTTTCTTGAAAACTCCACATGAATTTGTCCTCAATTACAGCTATCCAAGTAAAATAGTCCTAATCAATCATTAAATTTGGTTAGACACAAATTGTGAATAAAATCTGCTGGTTCTTTTCCATAAAAGACAATATCTTAGATCATATTTATTGCAGTAAAAACTATCTGTCTAAAAATAGTCTTAAAATGAATCCTTTAATTTTGGATGATGATACAAATGGTATTTAACCCTTTCACTCCCAGAGACTTGATTTTATGTGGTTGTAACTTATTTGGATAAAACTCTTGTGTGTGAACATTCAAATGTAAGCTGTCAAGCAGCACTTTCATGTTTTACTCTTTGTTTTTGTTGATTCTGCACATTGAAATTCAGAGATTTCTTCTCAAATTCTGACCCAGCACTCTTGGGAGTGAAGTGGTTAATTACAGTTAAATATAATTGATTTTTTTAAATTAAAATCTTGTTGTAACTGTAACAGTATATTAGAATGAAGTTACCCTAAACTGCAGACTTAGCTGCCGTTTGTATTTTTTTTCCTGGGCTCATAGCTTTTCCTGTTAGCGTTGAATGAGGTTGTCTACAAGAAGCTTGACCATTTTGTATCTGGATTCCATGACATCTGAATTTGAAAAAAAAATATATATATAGAGATATATATATTAAAAGCTCAGACAAGGCCTTAGATAGCTATAAGGAAAAGGGCATTCATTGGAATCTCAATTTAACAAAGTGCAGTGGGATTTGGAAATCTCTGTTGTATTGAATGACTTTAATATTGGAGTTAGTACATCTCTCCCATAGATTTTACTGAAAAAGGGCTGAATACAGTATTTTGTTTTGTACCAAGTAGGGCTTCTTTATGTAATAAGGTTTGTTTAGTCACAGTTTGTATTTTGAATCCCAAACGTGACTAAAGTAATCTTGAAACCTTACTGATAGATTTCAATGTAAAGCATAAGCTTAAGAAACTGCGGCATGCAAGTGACCGATTCGATTCTCAGAATTATTCTTGTTTCAGTTGCACCGAGCGTTATGTAAGCTTAATTCAAGCCGTTATACCTATTCTTTGATAAGATTTTGATCACATAACGAATAACGCAATTTTTACTCACCACAAACTTTCAAAATCGTAGCTTTACAAATGGCCACTCGACCCTTGCTTGTACCACTCAATATGTCAACTGTTGTCCCTTCTTTTAACTCCACGGCGCCAACGACTTTCTTTTCTTTTACAACACTCACGCTGCTCTCGTTTTCCCTTTGAACCACATCAAAACCCTTCTTTAGAAAGTTGTATTAGGCAAAACAGTCGAGAAAAGAAATAACTTAACACACGAGCGATCAACTGATGGAAAGTACATTCAAAGATGAGCGCGAATGGCATCTTCTTTGTTTCTAATCACGGGCATGATCACGTGGATCTTTTAGGACTTGTAGTGAATCCGCTGGCTTGCAAGAGAAGCGCATAACTTTATTTTAACTTCTCCGACCGGTTCTCTGCTTCTGGACGATGGATACATTGGATCCATGCTCTGACAGTGATATAAATAATGATTTGAGCTCACTCTATGTAGAAATAATCGAAAAGAATTCAGTCTGTCGTTTCCTCTGAACTTCAAGCAGTGGTGCCAACAGAGGAGAGTGCGTCTTATAAAGGAGAAACATTTGTACAAGAGACAGAAGTAACTATATGCGATTACAGAGGTGCGTTGGAACTCTGGTCCACAAATGGTTATGCACTGTCCGAAGTGTAAAACAATTTTCTTGATAGCTGACAGACAGAGAAGAACAACAAGTAAACTTTAGAGCTGTTATTGTTGAGGTGTGACTTGCACTTTTCATTTGTATATAAAGAAGGACTTGTATTTTGCACTAAAAATAAAAAGAAGTAATATTTGGGAGATCCAGTGATTGGGAAATTTAAGAAATTAAATTATGAAAGGAAGCTCGGTTTGTACTTCTCACTACTAACAAGTCTTGTTTTAAAACTATTTTCAGATCAGAGCTTCAAATAAAGTAAATTGAAGAAGTAACTTAAAAGGTGTTTTTTTCTCAAAGGGAACAGTGACTACCTCTGTCTTGTCTGCATGTTAAACATTTACCAATTGTGCAGATGATCCACAAGTATTGGAACTCTTACAAAAATGTTTTGTAAGAATAAAAACAGCAAAGCAAATTACAATAATCAGTCACAAAAGCAGAGCAAAACACTGAAAAAAAAACTGCAACAACAATCATGAAAAAAGAAAGATTAATTAGGTGTTGAATTTGTTTGTCTAGGGCATGAAATTTCTACTAAAAATAATGTGAACAGAAAGTCTCTGACAGTGTTTGAGGCACCTGAGCTTGACTGTTCCAAGGTTTTCTAACAAAGGCAATCAGTAATGTAGATTAGGGAAGTAATTAATGTTTATAACTAACAAAGTTCTTTAAGTGTGGATAACAATGTACCGTAGTTTCCGGCCGTTTACCCGCGGGTAATTTGTTGATTTTGCATTAAACGCGCGCCACTGCGGGTAATAGGGAGGTGCGGGTTATCTGACAATTTTAAAATCTACTGGTGGTTGAACTGAAAAAAATTCTCATCTACATGCGTTTCCACCTCTCAAATTAATTTTATTGTATTAAAAGTGCCACAAAGCGGCACGAAAACATGATGCCGACTCGAGTTTATTTCACGCATAATTAGTTGCGTGACGAACAAATTGATATCGGCACGTGTGAAAACAAGACCATGATGGTGAAAAAAATAATCCCAAGACATCCGGCGCATCAGTAACAGATTTCCATTTAACACTAGCTTGAGCTAAAGAGAATTTTCCCGTTTTAAGGAACTTGTTAGGCTCAATAGAACCGGAGAAAGTTAAATCAGACAACTTTTAAAAGACTGAAATGTATCACCTTAATGTCACGTTTTCGCCACCAAAAAGTTCAATAACATAACGTGCGGGTTATCCACCAGTGCGGGTAATCTGTTGACTTTTTCTTTCGCCGTATGCAATGATCGGCCGGCGCGGGTAATCGGCCGGAAATTACGGTTATTATTGTTACACATGTGGAAGTTGTGTACTAAGGAACAACTGATGAATGTTTGATGATTTTGGCACATCTGTGTGCTTTCCCTCCTTCAGTTCATTTTAGAATGTAAAGTATGCATGATATCCACATTTATTTCATATTTTTACCTCTAGCACCTAGCACATACTAAGCCAGCAGTAGGGACCTTATTTCATACTATGCTGAATATGTTGAATTTGTTCTTTACCAAGGAATCTTCATCAGAAGACCGAAGTGACTCAGGTTTTGAAACATGCAACATTGTTCAAGGTGATGATAGCTTTTTTTTTTATAATTTTCGATTAAATTTTACTCGGGAAATGAAGTCATTTTCTGAGTTTTGGTAGAACTTTGAATGTAGCTCCTTTGCTCGCTCCTTCCATCATCTCCTGTTAACTTAAGTTAAGTGAATCCACTGACCAGCGCATAAGGTTTCGTAGCCTCTGTGTGCTCTCGATGGTCAGCTAGTTCAATGGAAATAGAATAAGAGAGATGGTTAGTTTTGAGCTTGGTAAAAAAAATTAAGAAAGATGTTTTGTGTCTTGTCACCGATCATAAATAATTGAAGCAATTCACAGTGCTGGGTTTGTGCCTGAACTCCCCATTTTGCACTACAGTTCTAATAAGAACTCAAAAAATAAATCCTCAGCACTCAACCCAGTGACCAATTGATTCCAACAAACTTGTATCAGTTGCACACCTCATGACTCTTTCACAATATTGTCTGGGTTATGTAGCTCACAGACCGGGTGTGAATCCATAAATGTCATTTTGAAAGTAATAAGCCGACTATAAGGAAGTTTTGAGCCACTTTAAATGTATTATGATTTTGCCTACGTCAAAGCAACGCCTTATTGACCACACAGCCTCTCTACTAGAAGCTTCACATTGTATAAAGGTGTTAATAACAGGGAAGTTCGCCCAAGCTAAAAAAAAAACTAGATATCTAAGAAACGAAGCATTCATCTGGACAAGAGAACGTGGCCTCTTGAGAGGAATCACAGGGTCGAAAGAGCAAAAATAACATTCAAACGCAGACAAGATAATGTTTATTTTACCTATAAAAGTACAATACTAACCGGATGACTCGTAAATTTCTAAGGCAATGGAAAGCTATCCTACGTGAGGGGGTGCCAAGGCTAAAAAGATATGCATGTGTAGAGCTGCACATCTAAACAAACAACAAGATCGTGCTGAAAGTGTCTTTGCTTCATCACCACAGTATAGTATTTCAAGACACTCATTACAAAAATATTTGCAAATGCAAAATAGTAGCTTTCCAAGAATGAAAAAAAAAACCTAGATTACTAAGAAACGAAGCTTTCACCCGGACAAGAGAACATGGCCCCTTGAGAAATATCAAAGTGTCGAAAGAGCAACATATACATTAAACTCAAGCTCGATTGCTGATCAAAATAAGTGTTTTTTGAGTGGTTCTAACTTGCCAGGATCAAAATGCAGAGACTTGATATTTTTAGAATCGTTAACTTTTCTTGGTTGTTCATGAATATAGATGGAATGATATACAGTGGAAACTGTATCAAGCGGCACCATATTTTGCGGTCATCCGGCATGTCTTAAGATGGTTAAAACGTTCAGGAGAGATATAACAATTGTAGCGTCGAGGTAGTATTTTATCATTTTGATGGACTGACAAACAATTTGTCGATTTCATTTTGATAGCAACAAGTCCTTCCACGATTGATAAAGGAAAAGATTCAACTTCACTTACCTTATCACTGAATAGATACATGGCAACATGGAATCTCTTTGTCAATTAGTTGACATCGTTGTGTTTTGTTTTCATCAGCAGCACAAGATCATGACATCAAAGGAAAAACCACAACTTTTGAAGCTGAGCACAAGGAATGCATCCGCGTGTTGTCATACACAAATGCAAGCGGTCAGGTTTATGTCCACCTGTACGTATTTTGTGACAAGAACAGTATACCAGAAGAGTTAAAAGAAGCTGCTCAAGAGTTCTTCGGGGAGACGGGTGTTGAACTCAGATGGACTAATCTGTATAATTACGCGTCTAATATACCAAATATTGTCTCAAAAGATTTCAAACAACTAGAAGTATCCCAGGCTAATGTTATTAGTAAAATAATTAACAAAAATCTGCCCGTATTCTCCAAGCACCGTAACATCACTGCAATCCAGTCCTCTTTGAAGGTTACAAATTCAAAGCAAACAAACTATCCTTGCATCAGAGTTTATGTTCTTGGCAAAGGATGCATTCCCATTGGCGAATCGGAAATCCCAAACGCAGTTGAGAATTTTCCCGTAGACATCGTGGACGGATTTTGGTTGGAAACGTTAGACATCCCCAAGCCCCTCACGGCACATGAGCAGGAGAAATGTCTTCGTTTAGGAGCAAGCATAGGAGTTAGAGGGACAAAAACTGCTGGGACCTTAGGAGCCATTGTAAAAGATGACAGCAGTTTTTATCTACTCTCCTGTGATCATGTGATCAACCATGAATGGGAGAGAGAGATAATACATCCTGGAGGGAGCCATTACTTGAACTCTTTAAAATACCACCTGATTGACTACCAAAACTGTATAAATCGTATCATTCAACCAGAAAATCGTTTGAAGCACGACAATCTAATGCCAGAAAGTATTTTTGAACACCTGAAAAACAAAGTAGATTCGTTTTATAACGCTGCAGATGTTCCACGGCATCCGGAGTTAGAAGAGTGCAAGAGGAAATTAGACAAACTTTTCTCGGAGAAACCAAGAACTGTAGCATACTATACAAAAGGTGTTCGCCAGAACATGAAGTTTCCGGACGGATCAGAATGTTTCATTGATGCTGCAATTGCTGAGTTGACCGATGAAGAAGTAGAGGCTCTAAAAGAACAAGGATGTGTCAAAATTATTGACACAACAAATTATCCAGATGGCAATGTCTCGAGGGATGGGTCACGAAATCGTGCGAGGGAATGGTGTAAAAGTGGCAGCTCCACTGGATATACTACTCTGGAAAGTAATTTGTACCTTGAAAAAATGTTTTTAAAGACCGCCGAACATGAAAGGCCATTGTTCTTTCCAGGAAACCTCGAACCTCCTGAAACGTACGTAGGTGACGATGCGTGGCGTATAAACTGCATGTGCTTTCCACACAACCAGAATGTATTCTCTAACGTGGGAGATTCGGGAGCAGTCATTTTTGAAAAATCTGTAGTACAGCCTCAGGCGATGTCAGGATTTGGCATTGTCCTTGGAGTTTTTTTTTCCGAGGCTGGGTGTGGTACCGTAGCCGCACCATTACTTGGTGCTCTCGACCTACTCTCCGAAAAGTTGGGTCGCAGATTGACACTAGTTTCTACATTTTAGATCCCTCCCAGTAACATGGACGATTACTGATCCATTTTACCCTGACCGCAAGGATTTCATTGAAACTCTAACATGATAGCTATGATTCATTCCTTTCACGTAAATGCAGGCATAGTTTAGGGTCAGAGTGAAATCATTTCTCAGCTACAGTTTTAAAGAACTTATCTCAGACTTTGACATTCCATGATTAACAATCCCTCAGCTCTGTTACTACGCGAGATTTGATAAGTTTAAAAAACTTCGATCCACCTTACGCTTTGCGTGCATTATCCATAACTTCGTAGACCACGAAAACCCGACGTCTTGCAATTGTCTTCTTCACACGTTATTCTATATCGTCTCTACGTGGAACGACAAGGTGGTCATACTTGAACAAGAAGACACCTTTATTTCGGGATTTGTCTGCCTAATCAACGCTATATTGCAACAGAACTGAGCGACTGAAATTTTCTTTGTCAACGACCTCGCCAATAAGACTGAGAAATTCCACGACAAAAAATGCCATACGTCAAAGAATAGCTTTGATGTACCTGCGTCTAAAGAAACGCAGCTTAGTCACCTGTCAACCTCGAAACGAAAATAAACAACCCTACATCGCGACAGAACTGAGCTAGTGAAATTTTCTATGTTAATGACCTCGCCAATAAGACTGAGAAATTCCACAGCAAAAACTGCCATATGTCAAAGAATAGCTTTGATGTACCTGTGCCTTACGAAACGCAACTTTCTGCTTGTTCTGAATTTGACAATACCGTAAGAAGTTGAACGAAATAGCAAACCTTATTTCGATTGAAGAAAGGTTAGTTTTGCACAGGTTTGCCTACTTGAGGACTATGCTGTTGAATTTGAATATTTTCTTCTAATAAAAAACAGATATGCGTATAATTTTAGATAATTCCGTACGATTTCAGAAAGTTAAAAAAACTCATGTATACTCATATACTCTGCGTGCAGCTAAATCGATTAATTGTTTTAACGTTGATTGATTAATATGATTATTAAAATAACAATGGTTAATAACTTTTATTAATATTTACTTTTGTTCGATTTTTTTTTAGAATTCGTTTGATATTTTATGAGATATTTTAAGCTTTTACTTTTGTGAGTAATAATTAGAAATTAAGTAAATTTTGAGAAGCTGGTGTTTTGTCTTTTTTTAACGTAGTCCTCAAAGGAGTTTATTTCTGATGTATACAATTTTGTCCAACTTATTAAATCATATGCTTTGACGTGAACGGGCTACTTATTTTCTTGTAATGTTCTTGTTTCATTTCAACATGTACCTTACAAATATCACCGAAGAGTGCGCAAGTTTGACCCCAGGTTCTCTTTCCCTAGACTAGTGCACATGGAGTGGCTATGGAAACGAAGACAGGAACAGGAAGGGTGGAATAATCTATTTTCATGTTTTCCTTTCAACATCTTATGTACTAAGAGATGTTTAAATCATATCAGTGCCTTTATCGAGACGGGAAGTGGCCGAATGAAACACCTTTCGTCTGTAATGTGTTTCTTCAATAATAATGGTAAATGAAAAACAGCTCCAAATTTTAGCTGGAAATGCCCATTGAAAAGGAAAACAGGTCGATCGACCGCGTAGCTGTTCTTAACCGATAGAAGAATATGAAGAAAATGCTGCTAAAGCAAAACGTTTTAAGTTCGAGTTCAGTTAAGTTCGAGTTGAGTAGTTCTAAAATTACAACGCTACTTGCAGATCTGTATGGAACTCCTCAGATGAAAATCAAAGAACTTGAATTAAAGGGATTGTTACGTTAGTTTCTTGCGCACCTAGAATTCTTTTGGATTGGATTGTTAAGTTATTATCTCGCCCACTTTAAGAAATCTCTTTCACTGGATTGTTACGCAAGTATCTTGCTCACCTGGCGCACCTTTGGACTGAGTTCTCTTTGATTGGATTGTTACGTTGGTATCTTGCGCACCTAGAATTCTCTTTGATTGGATCGGTACTTTCGTATCCCGCCCACTTTTGCAATTCCTCTTCATTGAATTGTTACGTTAGTATCTCGCGTTAAAATCTCGCGCATTTTTGGAATTCTCTTCGATAGAATTGATAAGCTGTTACCTCGCTCACTTTTAGTTTTCTTTTTGATTGGATTGTAACGTTAGTACAGTATTTTTCGCATCTTTAGAATTCTCTTTAATTGGATTGTTACGTTAGTATCTCGTCCTCATTATAATTCTCTCTCATTGGATGGTTACACTAGTATCTCGCGCACTTTTAGATTTCTTTTTTATTGGATTGTAACGTTCGTATTTGGCGCACCTATAGAATTCTCTTCGATTGGATCATTACATCAGTATCCCGCCCACTTTCGCAAGTCCCTTTCATTGGATTGTTACGCAAGTATCTAGCGCGCGTTAAGGATTCTCTTTCATTGAACTTTTATGATAATATCTTGCGCACTTTTGGAACCTTCTTTAATTATGTTTTTACGTTAGTATCTTAAGCAATTTTAGAATTTCCTTTCATTGGACTGTTACGTTACTAACTCTTGCATTTTCAGATTTTTCTTTGATTGGATTGTTACGCTAGCATCTCAAGGACGTTTAGGTTTCTCTTTCAATGGAATGTTACGTTGAGCCGGCGACACACCTGGCGATTTTATACCCCGACCACAGCGAATTTGATCGCCGGTGAAAATCGCTGCGGACACACCTGGCGATTTTTTTGTCGATCGCGACAGTGTTGAACTTCAGGGTGACGTTTTAAAATTGCGCCAACCAATGTAACCGAACAAAATGGCGACAGCGAAGCGAAAAAAATTGTTGGCTGCTGCTATAATTTTGCAACCAAAGCTCTCCAGGAAGCGTTCTGAAAAGCGAGACAATAATGAGAAAAATATGGTCGCGTCCTTCTTGAAGCGATTAATGTAGCCGCTCGACGTTACATCAAATACGCATGGCTTTTCGGACCACAGTGTGATCAAATTGACTTCTTTTTCTTCGGTCCAGAGACAATTTTCGATGCCTTCCGCCATTTTGAAAAGTCATGTGATAATATCGCCCAACTTGATTGGTTAATTTTACTGGCAACTCTCGATAGAAAGGGGAGAAAATCGCGGGAACGGGCACACTTGGCGAATGCCCGCGAATTTAATCGCCGATATCTGACATACCAGATATCGGCGATTTTATACGCCGATCGCCGCGATCGATGTATAAAATCGCCAGGTGTGTCGCCGGCTTTAGTATCATACGCAATCTTTAGAATCTTTTTTGAACTTTTACCCTAGCACTTCTAGAAGCTATAACCAAATTTTAATAGTATGCGCCAAAATTGACTTTTGTTTCTCAAATTTCTTCTTGAGTTCATCATTGACTTAGGTTGGTTTTTTTTTTTTTTTGACGTGATCTTAGTAAAGATCTTAGAGATTAATTTTAAAAATGTAAATCTTGGAGCTAAAATCAATTGGAAAAGTATGTTCCATGAATTGATACGTTTGTTTCCCTAATTGCCTCAAAGGTTTATCATCAACTGATACATCGTATCATTCAAACATGAATAACTGAAAATGTTGGAGCCCATGGTATTTGTCTGTCAAATTGCTTCTTCAGTTTTTCATCATGCATTTATACAGAACTTTTTAAAAAACGTGATTCAATGAAAAATTTTTAAAGCCTTTTTTCTTTTTCAAATTCTGAGCTCTGGAGGCTGAAATCAATTGACAAAGTATGCTTAAAAATTAATATTTGTTCTTTAAGTTTATTATCAACTCACATAAAAAATATTTAAAAGTGTTTTAAAAATCTTTGAGCCTAACCATTACTGATTTCTGAACTTTTGAGACGCAAACCAAAACCAAATAGAATCCGTTATCATCGATTAGTAAAAAAACCTTTTTGACTTTTGCGCTCAAGATGTGGTTGTCAATTCTCCCTTCCCTCTGCTAGACATTTCCCTGTTAATCAGTCACGAGAATTTTCCGTTACATCAAGATAACAACTTCCACCTGATTAGTTTGGGTATTCTCATTACCTGTTTGCTGGATTATGTATGGATATCATAGGGAGAAATTACATGTCAATCACCCCTGAGAGTTAGAGGGTTAACAATGGTAGGACCCACAAGAAATCCAGTTTAAGTCGATTAATTCAAAGATCTTCACTAGGAACGAATTTGTGAAAGAAAAGGATGGCTTGGTTTCATAACTTTTACCAAAGCTATTATCAGAGAATAATTTCAAAATACGTTTTGTCAAAGGAGTAGAATTTGCAGCTTACCATTTGTTTCCTTACTCAGAACTGACGGTTCAGACGACCACCATGCACAAATTGTATAATATTTATTCAAACTTTAATAACTATTCAATCTAAAGAAACGCATTTATAATCCGAAATCAGAAAAACGAAAATCAAGTCTTTATCTCATAGCAAAACTCAGAAAACGTGTTTGGAAACTTACTTCTGTGGCGGGTCGTAAAAACAGTCTCACTCTACAGGTTAGCAGATTTAGGTAAGAGAACAGACTATAAAAAACGATTTCTCTCTCTTATCGATTCTTCTGAAAAACTGGTCTAAAACATAACGAGCAAACACTTTTGAAAGATCATAGGCTTCGCTGTGGATTGCTGTATGGGAGTCATCTCTGCTGGTATTCAGTGGTTCTGAACCCACGGTCAGTTAACACCCACGCTTTTTTCAATCCCACGGTTGTTTTGTACCCAGTTGTTTCGTACCTAAATTCAGTTGATTCGTTCCTAGATTGAATCAAGTCGTACCCAAAGTGCTGGTAGATTTGTTCCCATCCCAATACACATCCATTAAAATTACCTCATGTGCAAGCACGTAAACATATATTTATTGTTTCAAACAAGTAAGCAGAGTCAAGCAAGTAAAGTGCAAGCAAAATTCTGTTGCGTATACTTGACCTTTTTAACTACAACACCAAATTTTTGCCTATTTCTACTTAAAGAGTCCGTTGTTTTTGCTTGTTGTTCTCTTAACAATAACAGCTGGTGTAAGCGAGATTTTTCTCCGTTTGTTATTAACGGTAGTAAATTCGATTATACTTGTTTTTTCTTTTATTCTATACTTACTTTAAAAATACTCCACATGGAAAACATACTTTATTAGTATAGGTATGAGACAATTTAAATGACTGGGTACAAATCGACTTAGTCAGGTACTAAAGGACTGGGTACAAAATGACGGTGGCTATGAAACAATTGGTAGCCTCTACTGCACCACTTATGACTTCTCACCAGAGCTCAGTTTTGAGAATTGATTTGTGTCAAGAAAGTGATTGCATCTACAGTGAATCTTATGGCATTTTGTATTTTCACTGTATTTTAAGAGTTGTTCAGTAGTTAATTACTCTCAACTAAAAGTGTTTATTGCTTCTAAATTTAATTTTTTCTTCTGTGGTATCGCAAGTTATACTATACGTATATATTGTACGTTCAGGAAACAGGCGACTGAGGAAAAATACTTCACATTTTGGTGGGTAAAACTGATCTGTTGTTGTTGAACCTTTTCGAAATTCCAAGATGTCATAAAACATGTAGACTTCAAACTGAGACCAAAGAAAGGTTTGTATGGCTCATTTGAAGCTCTGTCTTACTCAGATGTCATCAGAAAATGACCATCTCAAGGAGGTGATTAAGGAGAAATGTCAACCTTGGAAGGAACGAAAAATTGGGGTCTCTTGAAATTTCCATTGTTCGGAAATTTGCATCTCCAATGTCGTTTGGCAGTTAATTATTTTGACTAGAACCAGAAATGGCGAATTGGCATTTAGACCTTACTCAACTTTTCCTCTTCCAGATATCGCAAAGATTACAAACAGGATCAAGAAAGAGAACAAAAAATAAGTTTATTTCCAGTCAGAGTTGTGAACAAGGAATGTACATGCAATGGACAAAAGGTACCAATTACATTGTGAAAACGCCTGTTACACTATCGTGTACTGGATACTCGAAAGAAAAGCCCT